TATCACCTATTCAGGTTGTAAATCGTGTTTTTAAAAAGTAACTAAGTAATTAATTACTTTTGAAAATAAGTAATCAGTAAAGTAACGGGATTACTTTTTGGGGGAAGTAATCGGTAATTAGTTACTAATTACTTTTTTTAAGTAACTTGACCAACACTGGGTACAAGTAATTCACCAAAAAGTAATTCACCAGCCTACTGCTCAAGAGCCATTTGAAAACATTATTAGAAATTCTGGCTCCTTAGAAGCGACATATAAAGAAATGATGAGTGGGTTTTGCACAGTATTGCAACTGGATGTGTTTGGACTGAATATTATTGGGACTTCTGAGCCATTCCCAGTATTATTTCTTTTCCTCTGAAACAAATTTTTGATTTTTTGGAGTCGAAAGTGAATTTTGTGATTAATTTGAAATTACAATTTGTAGTCACTGATTTGAAAGGTAAAGTATGGCATGGGATCTATTTCTGTATCAATAATCAAGCAACCCCTTACTATCAAAACATTGAATGGAATATATTTTGCTAATATGAGTAACATCTAACCAGCATTTAATATATTTTTTACACAGTTATCTCATTTTTTAATCTTCGAAGAGGACTGCAGCAAACAGACTGCAGAACATAATACAGTGCTCTGTGCTGTTACTTGCCATCTTCATCTACAACAACATGGGATTGCTTGTTAAACATGATTTATTCATTAGAATTGAATCTCCAGCTGTCAAATTCAGTACAAGTGTATCTGAAGTCTGACCATGCAACACCAATCAACTGGCCCCTAAAAACAAGCTTCAATCAGCTTTGGGACAAAAATACAATAAAAGAAAAAAGTAATTTGGAAATAAGGACAACAACAACAAAAAAACATGATGAAATATCCTCACAAACTGGCTGATGAAAGTATTAAACACCTGACCAGTTAAATTTTGAGGTATTTTGAATCATAAGCAAAGCAACACAGGCCAAATTACTGAAATACATCACATCTTTTAGTTTAACTAAGGGCTTTAAAGGGGACCTTTTTGCTATGTTGCAGTCA